GGTTCTGACACCTGCAGCTCCGTTTCGTCTTTGTCTTATGCCTTCCAGTGAATGCTCCAAGATGCACGCCCCACATTCAGCAGCAAATGCCCAGCAGATTGGATGTTGAATAGTACGTTTGTGCATTAGACCTGCTGAACAGCAATGGTGCTCTCTCTCTATTGTGTGGGCATTGTGAGGGATGCCACTGGTGGAGGGGTTTCTCTCGCTGTATTGTGCGGGTGATGCCAATGAATGCTCAGTAGGGGTAGCAGCGCCTGATCTGTTCAACTTCGCATTTACTGGAAATGGATCCTAGAGGTCGTCAGTGTTTCCCTCTTCATCATCACCAGGAGAGATCCTGGGCAACTGGCAATTTCCATGGCACTCAGCAGCCATGGAGAAACATCAACCCATTTGCATCTGGACGTCTTTGTTATTGCTCCTCAGATCCTACTACAGTTGCAGGATTGTGTGGCCATGTAGGAGGTGGCCCACAAGGGGTTACTGTCCCTGCATTGCCATTATCCTGTGCTCCCCAACCTTGGTCAAGGGCTGGAGTCCATGCACCATTGTCCACGGAGCCTGTATCTTGCAGGGTACTCCCACCACAGACAGGGTGTCTTCAGCGTTATCCCCTGTTGAAGTCCCAGGGATTGGTACAATCTTGGCCATGGATTCAGCCGCTGCATGGGCAGGATGGCAACCATGCCTTCGTTCCTTCGCCATTCCCTGCTCCCAACGAGCCTGCTCCCTTTCAATGGTGTCCGACACTGCCAGCTCAAGGTGATGCTGCCCTTAGGCAATTGCCGTATGCTGGCAAACAACACATGGCCCTACCGTGTCCTCAGCGTGATCCCTTTAGGTCTGTCCAGCCTCCCACATCTACATCAAGAGTTCTGCCAGTTGCTGTCGGAAGTGGGGTAATAATGGCTTCTGGCAAGCAAGGAGGGAGAGGGGGAATATTTGAGGCCCCAGGAGGAGGTGGAGGAGGAGTGCAGCAAGATCTTTGGGGAGGAGTGCTACAGTCGGGGGGCGCAAAAGGAGGATGCCAAGCTGGCAGAAAGAGAGAATCTGAGTCTGGTCATTCTGGTAATGAATGTCTTTTGACCATGGTGACGACAGTGACTGCAAAAGCCCATGCCATTGGGAAGATGTGTTACAGGAAGGATCAGGCAGCACCAGTCAGTGGGGGTGAGGTTGGCAGGAATGGGCCAGGAGGGGGAAAAGAGGGGAGTCGTCCTTCCCTCCAAGGGACAGGATGTGAAGGTGAAGTTCCAGCCTCCATCCGCACATTGATCGATCTTATCCAAAAGGACAAGCACATGGAGAAGGCAGCTACTCGGACTTGCTTGCACGATGCAGTCATGGATGACATAACTTCTGCAGGTGTATGCCCACTTGATGACGTCTCGGTGGGAATGCAGCCCGAGGTAGGTGATGTGTACGCGTCTGGCGGGAAGTGGATACGTGTAGATCAGCACTCCATTCTTCACCACCCGCAAGAGCAGCATTTTGGGGAATGTCTGACCCTTGGGGCTTCACGTGTCCATGCAGAAGTGGGGGATGTGTATCATTGTCCCTTGGCATTCTGCGGTGGTCTGAGGGATGACGTTATGCGCAAGTCAGTTTGCGCGTTTATTGGTACCAGAGGGCAATTGACAGATAAGTATCCTCAGCATCATTGTCGGCAGCAGCTAGCGAAAGATGATGCAGATGGTAAGGAAGATGGGGGCATGCCGCATGGGGGCAAAGAATATCGTACAATTGTAAGGGGGGGTTCATCTATGCCCCCACATGGGCTCCTGACAATAGAGGATGGAGGAGGGGGAGACCCAACTGGGGGCTCCCAAGAGGTACCAAAGTTAACTTGGACTGAGCCTGGGAAAGATGGAGACATGGTGTGGCACTGCATAAATACTTCTGGCAATGAAATGCTCAGGAGGCAAAGTTTGGAAGGACAATGCGAGATGAGTGCACTCATCATGCTGGCAAAGCAGGAAATTATGGAGGACTGTACAGGTCTCCTTCAACTGCAAGGTTTAGACATGCGGAAGGTGCTGTGGAGGAGCAACCTGAAAAGCAAAAAGATGACAAAAAGGCCGAGGATTTTGCCAGAGGGATGGAGCCCACCAAACAACTGGCGGAAAGTGGTGCGGATCAGAAGATCAGGTGCCACCGCAGGGACAAGGGACACTGTAAGTATTCTTCTCAGTACACCGTGTTCGTTTCCGTTTGGCACACCTTGTGGTGTGGAGAAGGCAATTGTGAGCAGAAGAATCATGACTTTATTTTTCTAACGAGAAACATCATGTTGCGAGGGCACTATTGTGCCGGTGGTGGGAGAACCCCTAGGATTGACACTTCGCTGTGAGAGATGGATGCGTTCTATACCTGGGGAGCCGCCCCTGCTGGAAATGGGCCCCAGCTTCCCACTCAAAAGGTCCTAAACAGTAACTCTTTCCTGGGGTGCTTCTCCGCTCCCCCTGAGGTGGAGCCACTACTTACGCCTATGTCTTCTGCTCTCATTGTCCTTTGTGGCCTCTGCACAGGAATCGTTGTATTCGTTTTCTTTATTTATTTATTTTTACTTTATTTTAAAGGCAGTGCAGGCTGAGGCATAAGCAGGTCCCATCCAGACGGCCAGTGCTACAATCCCACAACACACCCAAGGCTCAGGGTCGAGGACAATCCAAGGCAGAACACTAACCACATGATACCCAGTCCCTCGGTGATCCCGCCCCCAGCTAAGCGTGCTGCAAGCACAGCCAAAAGGTTGCCCTAATGGGCAAGGCGCCTGATACAACATCCCCACAGCCTCACGACCATCCTGCCAAGTGGACGCCGTGGATGGGAATGCGTTGAAGTCCAGTATGACGGATTCCGATTACGGGAGTGAGCAAGTGTGTGAGCGCTTTGAGCTGGCCAAGAATTGTACTCCATTGTATTGGCCTCCGTGTTTCCACTTTTCTTCTGTTCTCAGCATCCAGGTACTTTCTGTCCTTGCATCATCTTTTGAAGTAGATTTTAGGTATCCCGATGGACCGCTGAGGCACACACACACACACACACACACACACACACACACAATCTTGTGGAATTTGGCATAGTTCTCGCAGTGGCCTCGCTGTAGCACTAGAATATCATCCGATTCTGCAGGTTGTGCGGCAGGGTGAGAGGTTCATGGCACTCTTAGTGTTGTGAGCGGCAAGTTACATCCCTCAGACCCTCACTACGTTGCCCTGTCTACCTCTCCTCTTCCCCTATCCCCTACAGTGTACCAAGACCATTTGGAAGTCACCACATGTGGTCCCTGCATCTTGTCGGGAGCGGTTGATCCTTGAAGAAGGTGCTTCATCTTCTGCTCTTGCAGCTATGGACTCCTCATCCCTCGCCTTAGAAGAAGCAGCTTTCTAGGTCAGCCCCTTGTCTCCGTGGATGTCCTCCACATGCAGCAGCTTCTTTCCGCTCGGCTTTCAACACAACTCACATTCTCTTCGTCCTCCATCTTTTGCCACCCTAAACCTTCCAGGCCAGCCCTAATCCGAGGTACAGTGGACTCCACACCTCTTGGACTAGCGTCTTAAGACTCTTAACCCGAAAAAAGTGTATGTACGTTATATACCATTACAACGTACAGGGCATGTTCTATTCGAATACAACGTACATATGTTATACAATGAGTTCTAGGGTACAACTTTGCAGGAGTCCATTGTACCGGTGTTGTTTTTATTTCTTTTTCTCGAATTTGGTTGGGAATTTCACAAAGACCCTTAGTCCAAGTTGTTTGCATTGCAAATTTGTACACCATATGTATTTTTTTTGGATTTTTTGGATAAAAAAAATAAATCGAAATTCTGATGTAATCAGAAAACAGAATGTCCCTCGTCTGGAATGAAGAAAGGAAGAACTGGTGGACGAAAATGAGCTCAAAGCTCGTCTGAAAGGCTCATAGGGAAGAAAATCTGCAAAAATCATACAGAGCATCCTTGGGGGCTGGGTTGAGCTACTCAAGGAGGAATTCACGTGGAAAGCGGGTGTGTGGGGAATCCTAATCCAGGACACCTCCCCTGAGAGGGCCTACCGATTCTCCCGTTGAACATCAGGTGCCAGTCGACGAGATGTCTTCACATCCTTCATGATCCTGAAGACCAAGATAGATGAATCATACATCCAGAATATCAATCCTGAAAGAGTAGTGCTGAATGCGTTTACGCTCCGTAAAATAAGAACATTAGGACGTTTGCAATCAGACTCGCTGTCTTCTTCACTTCGCATACATGCAAACAGGTGGCAATTCACACTGGCGCCAAGCGCCCACTCAAAACTCAGAGATATGGAAGCCGAGAACACCGTTCAGATGCAAACTCGCTTCAACAGGCTATTGCGCATCAGTGCCAGACCTTACCTTACCTTACCTTCCCTGTGTACAGTATCAAGTCGACCTTGTGTGTCTTGAACCCGTGACCTGTGTGTTAGTAGTTGAAAGTTGTCTGTCGTACGTCTGAGTAGTTGTCGAGTCTTGAACCTTAGACCTGTCGAAGTTGGGGTCATAACTGCATAGGGGTCATAATTATTGTAGTTCTGAAAGGTCACGGTCGTAGCTGCTACAGTCCTGAAAGGTCAAGGTCGTAGCTGCTACAGTCCTGAAAGGTCAAGGTCGTAGCTGCTACAGTCCTCAAAGGCCAAGTCCGCAAACTTCCGGAGGGTCCGGAAATGGCCTTTCAAGTTTCTTCTCACGTTGTACACAGCAGACCAGAGGCAAGTGGGCAAGTGGTGAGTCCAACTTCGCTTAATAAGCAGTACCCAGTCCCAGTCTCACTTTGTACAGTCAGCAAGTACCATGAGGGACTGTGTGCACCATGTTAGTGTGTGTGTATGCGTGTGTGATGCAGTGAGCGCGTGTGAGGTATTCAGGTGATCCAGAGTTGAGTGTGTGCGAACAGTGGTGTTGGACACAGTGTCGAGAGCCCTGGGATCCGCATCTGTGACTGCAAAAGGTGAAAACTGTTTCACTCTCGCCGGCCTAAATTCGAGGTCCTCAGAGAATATTTCAGTCCAAGGCTGGACCTTTTGCTTTCTCATCTCTTTCGTACGCTCGGACTACTTCAGGAGCTGTCTCTAGAAGTTCTGTTCGTGTAAACCTGCGGTCGTCCTCTGGTTCCTGAAAAGTGAACCTGACCTTATACTGTTTCTGTGGACAACCCCTACCTCCCGTTCTGAAGATATCTTCACCTACGATGCCGTCAATGTCGTACCTTCCGTCCATGTCCGGAGGGATCATGGACCTCTGTGATGGAAACTGTCGACTTGTGATACAAGGCAGCAACGACGCATGAAACACCGGGTAGGTGTGGAGGTGCGCTGGAATCTCGACTGTGTAGGACGGTCCATCCTCTCCGCCCTTGACTTCTAAGACTGGCCACGGTCCCCGGTATGCAGGTAGTAACTTTTGCGAGATGTTCTCCTCAGGAGCAAACTCTTTGGACTTGACCCAGATTAAGTCGCCTACTTGAAACTGTGATGGGCGACGGTGCTTATTGGCTTGCTCTATCATCCTATGCTGGGCCTTCCTGAGGTTCTCTGTGACGGTAGCAATCTCCTTTTCATAGTGTAGTGCAAACCCCCTAGTACCGGCCGGTAGCCTTTGAATCTGATTCCGGTTCAGTCCCTCAAACGGTCTACGCGGTCTAAGGGACATATGTAACTCGTTGGGAGTGCGACGCGTCGCTAAGTGCACGCTGTTATTGTATGCACTGGCTACCTTGGGAAGCATCTCATCCCAGTTAAGCTGATCAGGTCTAATATACATTCTGAGAACTTGCTGCAGGATTTTGTTCATCTGTTCAGTCTGACCGTTAGTCTCAGGATGGCGGCCGGATGACATTAACAACCTAGAGCCATAGACTCTCATCAACTCCGGCCAGTTATGACTAGTGAACCTGCTATCACGGTCACTAACTATTGACAGAGGGAGACCATGTTTATTGACCCAATGATCAAAGAACTTGTCTAGAACTAAATCTGTTTGTGCCTCTGCGAAAAAAGGAACAAAAACTGCATCTCTATACATACTAAAGCAAACAAAGGGCCCGGCGACATGCCTGGTCGCGGGCCCAGTGAAATTCGTGAGAGCAGGTGGGAACCGGGAGCAGGCGGGAACCGGCCAGCGGGTCCGTTTCAGGGGCGAGGCGGAGGCGGAGGAGTGGAGGCCCGAGGCAAGGGAATAAGGGTGGGAAACACGACAGGACTGGGGCAAGGTAAATCGGCGGCGGCAGTGTGGCGGCGGGCGGACTGAAACCGGCGGGCCCACCGCACAGGCCGAACCAAAACTCGGCTGTGGCCGGTGGCTGGAAGTTCGTGCGACGGCGGTCCGTTGGCAGGTGCAAAGCGGGCCTACATCCGGCAGGTAGGACCGTCCATCGGCAGGTGTGAAGCGGGTTGTCATGTTGTTTGGCGGAGGAGCGGGAGGAGGAGCGGGAGCGGTGGGAGGAGCAGGATGAGTGTGCAACGGCGGTCCGTCAGTTGTTTGGCGGAGGAGCGGGAGGAGGAGGAGAGGGAGGAGTGGGAGGAGGAGAGGGAGGAGGAGCGGGAGGAGGAGGAGAGGGAGGAGGAGCGGGAGGAGGAGGAGAGGGAGGAGGAGTGGGAGGAGGAGGAGAGGGAGGAGGAGCGGGAGGAGGAGGAGAGGGAGGAGGAGNGGGAGGAGGAGAGGGAGGAGGAGCGGGAGGAGGAGGAGAGGGAGGAGGAGCGGGAGTTGTCTTGCAGAGGAGGAGCGGGAGGAGCGGGAGCCACGGGAGGAGGGGGGGGGCTCGTCCGGCAGGTACGATCTTTGTCACGTTGTTTGGCGGAGGAGGAGCGGGAGGAGCGGGAGAAGCGAGAGGAGGAGTGGGAGGAGGAGCATGCAACGGCGGTCCATCGGTTGTTTGGTGGAGGAGGAGCGGGGGAAGGAGGGGAAGCCTTTTTTTCTTTCTTTTTTTTCGTAGGAGATGGCTATGGAGGGATCTTTGTCACGTTGTTTGGCGGAGGAGCGGGAGAAGGGGGGGGAGCAGCGGGAGGTGCGGGAGGAGGAGGTGCGGCAGGAGGAGCGGGAGCAGGAGGTGCGGCAGGAGGAGCGCCAGGAGGAGCGGGAGGAGGGGCGGGAGAAGGAGCGGGAGGAGGAGCGGAAGCGCAAACGGGGAGGGGGTTAACGAACACGAGGAGCGGGAGGAGCGGGAGAAGGAGGATGGGAAACGGGAAGGGGCGGAGGAGGCACAGGGGAGCAGCCTGAGAAGGAGAGGGAGCACGAGTGGGAGAAGGAGCGCGAGGAGCCGCATACATGCGGAGGCGGATCAACGCGCGGCAGGTAGGAGGAGCGGGAGGAGGTACAAGAGGAGGAGAAGCGGCAGAAGGAGCGGGAGGAGGAGCGGGAGGAGGAGCGGGAGGAGGGACGGGAGTGGGAGGAGGAGCGAGAGCAGCGGCAGGAGCAGGATGAGTGTGCAACGACGGTCTGTCAGTTGCTTGGCGTAGGAGCGGGAGGAGGAGGAGAGGGAGGAGGAGCAGGAGTTGTCTGGCGGAGGAGGAGCGGGAGGAGCGGGAGCCACTGGAGAAGGAGCGGGGGGGCTCGTCCGACAGGTACGATCTTTGTCACGTTGTTTGGCGGAGGAGGAGCGGGAGGAGGAGCGGGAGGAGGAGCGGGAGGAGGAGCGGGAGAAGCGAGAGAAGGAGCGGGAGGAGGAGCATGCAATGACGGTCCATCGGTTGTTTGGCGGAGGAGCGGGGGAAGGAGGGGAAGCCTTTTTTTCTTTCTTTTTTTTCGTAGGAGATGGCTATGGAGGGATCTTTGTCACATCGTTTGGCGGAGGAGCGAGAGAAGGGGGGGGAGCAACGGGAGAAGGAGCGGGAGGAGGAGGTGTGGCAGGAGGAGCGGGAGCAGGAGGTGCGGCAGGAGGAGCGTCGGGAGGAGCAGGAGGAGGGGCGGGAGAAGGAGCGCAAGGGGAAACAGGAAGGGGCGGAGGAGGTGCGGGAGGAGGGGCGGGAGAAGGAGCGGGAGGAGGAGCGAAAGGGCAAATGGGGAGGGGTTTAACGAACGCGAGGAGGAGCGGGAGGAGCGGGAGAAGGAGGAGGGGAAACGGGAAGGGGCGGAGGAGGCACGGGGGGAGCAGCCTGAGAAGGAGAGGGAGCACGAGTGGGAGGAGCGCGAGGAGCCGCATACATGCGGAGGCGGATCAACGCGCGGCAGGTAGGAGGAGTGGGAGGAGGTACAAGAGGAGGAGAGGCGGCAAAAGGGGTGGGAGGAGGAGCGGGAGGAGGGACGTGGGAGAGAGCAGAAAAACCAATTGGAGGAGGAGGAGCAGGAGGAGCAGGAGGAGCAGCAGGAGGGGGAGCGGGAAAAGGGGAGGGAGGAGGAGCGGGAGGAGGAGCGAGAGAAGGAGCGAGAGAAGGAGCGAGAGAAGGAGCGAGAGCCTTTTTTCTTTTTTTTCCGTAGGAGATGGCTACTGGGGGATCTTTGTCACCTTGTTTGGCGGAGGAGCAGGAGGAGGAGTGCACGCCGCACA